TAAGTAAAGTAAGTAACGTACGTACGTAACGTAGACGAACGTAACGTACCGTACCGTACGAACGTAGGAGACGAGACGTAACAACTACACAACGACGAACGTAATACTACTCTCTCTCTCTCTCTCTCTCTCTCTCTCTCTCTCTCTCTCTCTCTCTCACTCACACACACACACACAGAAAGTAATGCCAATTATAAGCGACATACGGTTTCCATCATTTGTTTCTGCATCATCTTTTTCAGTCTGGCCATGCTGTGCTCCCTGTTAAGTAGAGAAAGCATTTATCATGTGACATATTAGACAAAATCTTTTGAAATCAACAAAAATAGATAGAAAGAGATTCCCAAAAACAGCATCTGGATAATCCCATGCAACAATTGTCATTCAATCCTCCATTTAGTAAAACATTACATTATTCCAGCTCAACAAATTGCAATAGTAACTTCAAAACAATGAGGCATATCTAGAATTGACCTTAGCAGCTCTTCCAGGAGAGGAGATTTTAGCCCCATCTGATTCACTTCCAGAAGAACTTCCCGAGTCCGAATCTGCACATGCACGGAGAAAACAATGAAACAAGGAACAATATGAACCCCTAGCTTCTTAAGTGTAAGACACACAAGCCTAAAACAATAACAAGAAATCGCAAGGCTACATTTTTAAGTGGAGCGGGTTACTCAGGTAATAGTCAACAAATTTGATGCCAACAAATACATTATAAAGAAAATGTGTAGTGTACAATGAGACTATTTACTTTGGTATAAGAGGTCACAATCATCATTGACCAATAGATTTGAAATCAGTTGGTTAAGGTTGTATCATTGTTTGGGCACAAAGTCCAAAATAAAATTTCTCGAATGTTGTGACACTTACATCCATTGGACTTCACATGCAATGGCTAAAAGTGATTGCAACCTCCTTGTACCAAAAATTAATGGTCTCATTAGTATACAATCCCTTACATAAATCATGTTCCGAAGCAAACAGAATGTACCTAAGTAGGCATGCGGCTAAACTAAGTGAGACATGAGGGGAAGCTCAATTTTGGTAAAATGTGATCTTCGGAACTGGCAATTCTTTTTCCAAGATTTGACGTGTACATGTTTCAAGTTACAACTATAGTTCAGTCCTTACATTTTTTATTCTTTTGTTTCCTCAACATTCTCAATGAAATTCCCCTAGTGTTCCTCAAGTATCCCAACTGTTTTAAGCCAAGTATCTCATACACTTCCTTGACCTTCCATACCTTTTAACCTCTCCTTTACATTTACCAGCTACATTGTTCCATATATACATTGCGACCAAATTTTCCTAACATGCTTCCTGAATCAATATTCTGATCCACTTTACCTTCAGGCAACATGCCTCATATGGCATCAATAGATGGTCATGTAACCAAGAAATCTAAAATCAAGCAACAATGAACAACCATTATGTATTAGGAAACTTATTTCTTGGTGTAACTATCAATGTAATGTTTAACAAAATTCATTTTAAAACTAATACTTACTTCTCAAAAATAGTGCCACAGTTCTTGGTAACGCTCAAGCCACTTGTGTTATAAATTATCCCAGAAACTCCCACATATATTTCATGTTTTAAATGATTTTCCCTTAGGGTTTCATACATATATGTGTGTGTCGTGTGTGTGTGTATACACACACATATGCATATATCCATATATACATACATATATATAACGGACAAGTATTTGTCAAGTCAGCCAACTCATGTCTTCTCGAAGGATTTAGGACCCAAAACTAGGGCTGATAACGGGCCGGGCTGTATCCACCCAAGCCCGACCTGAATTCTTCTCTCATGTCTAAGCCGAGCCCCGCCCAGCTCCGAATATTATCCCCAAACAAGGCCTGAAATAGGGCCCACATTAGTTGATTGAAGCCCAAGTCAGCCTGAGTTCCAAGTAGACACAGTCTTAGTCCTCCATGAACCAAATACTTTGGTTCTTGTAAATCCTGACCTATTCCATTTTCTTTACCCTCTTCAATGAGGGACTAGTCACAGCTTTCTCTTCTGTGTGCCCAAGATGTAGTGTGACAGAAACCTGTAGCCTTCCCGAAGTCATGCTATTAAAATGTAGGGCAGAGAGGCTTAAAGAAAAAGCAGAACGAAGAGTGGGTGCTGTTCCGGTGAAGGGGTTAAGAGACCTTCCCAGTCCCGAGGTTTGTTGTGTCATCATCTGCTAGCACCACAGGTGAGTGAAAGGTGGAAGAGAGTCTCAAGTATTAACTCTAGCAATGGAATTAGTTGAGGAGGAGACGGCAAAAAAGGACGGTTAGGGGAAGAGAAGGAGAGAGGGCGCGGAGATAAGCTATGGGGAGATATAAAAGTTAAGTTTTTGGCTAGAGAAGGAGGCTATGTAGAGAGATGAAAGAAAGGAGGGAGGGAATATCATAAAGAGAGCAGGTAAGATGAGAGCTATGAATGTAATAAAAAAGGGACAAATAAGCTAGAAAATATTGATATATTTCTAATTATTTATTAAAATAAGGTTGACCTTCATTTTTGTTTTCTAGTATATAGCTTCTTTTACTTCTTCAGTTTTAGTTGCCTCTTTCTTCCCTTTCATCTTCTTCATTTTTAGTTTCCTTTTTGTTTTTTTCCTTTTCCTTTTTTTCATTTTTTTCCTTCCAAAAGTTGACCCCCAAATAGTTGGGATAAGGCTCTGATGATGATCATCATCATGATGTTTTCCAAACTTTTACACAAGATCAAATGGATGGTGAGTTATGCTCCTCAGGAAAGAGGGTACCCAAAGCCTAGTAGCACCCAACTTTTGTAGTTAGGGTTGACAGGAATAGAACCGGGGAAGAAGAGAGAGTCGAGGGGAGGTTGTTGAGGAGGGTAGTTAGCTCTGACAAAGAGGGAAGGTAGAGAAGAGGGTGCTCGACGAGTACAGAGTTGGGAATAGGGGTTGCAATAGGTTGGATCGGGTAAGGGTCGACCCGAACTGGACCCGCCCCGAAACCAGCCACCCAACTCGAGTCCAGGGTTTTGGACCCGGACCTAACCCATAGGGTCCAAAAATTGGGCGTGTACCCGACTCGATTGGGTCCAAGAGAGGTCTAGGTCTAGAACTTAAAAAAACATTTCAAAAAATATTCATAAAAATATATTTCATACACACACACACATGTATATATATATATATATATACATGTGTGCGTGCGCGTGTGTGCGTATATATGCATATAATACACACATCATAAAAGTATTATACATTTCAAAAAATATTTTATATCTATATGTGCGTGCATGTATGCATATGTTCGGGTCGAGGTCGGGTTAGGATCCAAGTCCGGGTTCCGACTTGGGTCCAACGTTTCGAAAACTTGGACCCGGATTGGGTCGACCCGCTAGGTCATTGAGTCGATCAGACCTGATTGCCACCCGTAGCGAGGAATAAGGGGAGAAAGTGAGGAAGGGGGTGTTGATATTTAAAGAGAGGGTGTGAGGAGGTGAGGCTGTTGGAACTGTGGCTTCCCAGGTGCTCGACTCGTTTACAGACTATGCACCCATACTGGTCACAACGAGAATGCGGAAAAGTGGGGGACCCAATAGACAAAGTGTTCTGTTTTAAGGATCCGAACAAAGGTTGGGGATATTAGCAAAAAGGGGCCGTGAACATAGAATTTTAGGAAGGGGAAAATAGAACATTGACCAAGGTTATCTCATTAACAATCACAAAAAGGCAAGAGAGGATGAGGATTTAACAAGTGGCAAAGAAGTGTTTGAGAAAGAAAGTAGAGTTAGGGATTGTAAGAGATTTGAGAGTGAGGAGGAGGGGAGGAGGAAAGAGGAGGCTAGGAAAGAGGGGGAAGAGAGAGATGAATGAAAAGAGTGAGCTGTATAAAAGATTATTTGTCCTATTGTAAATCCTAATTCCTAAATTGTTCTTTGATGAAAAATAACATCATGCCCGTGCTTGACATAAAGAGTTTATGTCAATGACAGGGGGGCACAAAAAATCATTTTGCTTGACATAAAGAGTTTATAAGTAGAACTACTAAAAACATTTACGGTTCCCCAGAAGAAAAATTGTCATTTTTAGTAATAAGATGAGAGTTTATAAAAGTACAGGGGTAAATCAGACATTTTCCAGACCATTGTATCTCACATGTGGATAAAGATCACCACTGACTTAGTAGCTTAGCTTAAGTTTTTAAATTTGGGAATGGCATCCATAACACATAACGGTGTAAAAATCCCATAGGAGAATGTTTAATGGCTTAAACATAGAAGAACTGCTATCAACTTCTCTCACCAGATTGATAGCACAAAAGGAGCCCAAATTTTTTAAGTATAAGTCAAAGGATCAGGATGATGACGAGGCAATTATGGGGTAGTTTAATAAATTTCACTTCGCAAAAGGTAGAAGGAAACCAAAGATTATCACCACAGTTTTCAATAGCATCCCAGAGGAATGATGCATAATCTAGAAAAGGACTATGAAATGGAGGGAATGTTGAGGCCTTTGTGTCAAAACGAACTGAAACCCAAAGACTGAAGTCACTGAAAATTCTTTGAGGAATTTTTCGGGATTTTTGGGATCCTAATAAGGATGACTTCTTGAAAGATAACCAAATTAGTGGAAATGTATGCAAAACGTTAATGTCGTTGGGGATTTGGATACCTGGCTAGATGTTTAGGGGGCTGCAACTGCAGCACCATATCCCAGTTTGAGACATGAACACGCTCAGGGAGTTGTGTAGTTGCTGGTGCAGAGTCTTTGGATATCAAACATAGGGAGATGACTTTCTAGTACATGATCTCCAGGCTAATACATAGTTGGATTCCCATGTGGATGATAGGGTGAGCAGCAACGTGTTCATGCCCAGAGTGTGTTTAAAAACGTGTTCATGCCCAGAGTGTCCTTAACACTCCCACTGACCTTTGAACCCTTGAGTTGTTTATTCTATTTACTTCTCTGCACCCAATGCAACTGGGTGTAGACCTTATTTTCCAAGTGATTAGACACTGTGTCTCCATATCATGTGTAAATTGCTTCTCAATATCTATCTGAGTAATTCTGCACCAAGTGCAACTGGATGTAAACCTTATTTTTAAATTAATGAAACATTATAAAACTTAAGTGCCTCCATACTTGCCAGTCACACCTTTTCTGTAAACATTACACAAAAAATAACCCTTCAAAAAATAGCAAAAGAAAGTCTCATTAGTTCATGAGGTGAGTACTTCGATGAATAGTTGGCAAACTTGTCTAGTTTTCTCAAGACAATAGTGGCCATTAAGCAACTTAGAACAGAAGTACTCCCAATAGACATGCATAAATCTTTAGCCCAAAAAAAAAAAAGGGTCCTAATTTCACATGCGAAAAATTCAAACCAAGGAAATATATTTCATCATAAAATACGAATAGGACAAAGAGATATGTAGATCAGCCTAACAAACATATTAATGCAAAAATTACTACCTAACATGTTTTTATTTTTTTATTTCTAGCCTACACCCTTAAAGTAAGTCCATTTAAACCTTATAAAGTCATTTCCCACAAGGCTGGTAATACGATTCCCACAAGTCCTTAGCCAACTTGTGCCCATCCTCCTTCGGACATGATTATATCCTCAGCTTGCAAACTATATTTTTGAATTTTTCCCGGCTTTCTATTGTTTTGTTATTTTTATAGACTTGATAGTTGTTCTTTTCAGAAATCATTACAACTGAAATAACTTCAGGAATAGCTTGTCATCGTCATAGATCTTATGGGGAGTCATCACTCTCACCCATATATTGCTATTCCCACCCAAAAAAGATGAGAATATTTAAAACACTGCCTGGAACTTCCACCAATGTTATGTGGGAGAGTATGGCAAGAACTTGGGTGAGAACAGCAGTTTGTGTGTGTGCCTAGATAAATAAACACACATATATCACAAAAGTGAACTTTGGCTGCATAATTGGCGTCCATCGAGATCAACATAAACATAAAACAGCACATTCCAAACAACCAATATTCAATTCCCAACCATGAATCAAGCCCAAGAAAGGTACAATAACACATCCATGCGCATACATGTGATAAACATACACGGGAACAAAAGAATCAACAGAAGTCCAAAGATGAAAATACAGCAAAAACGGACCACTAGATGAAGACCCCGAATCACTGCTCGAGGTGCTTGAACTGCTGCATTTGCTACCACGTGGGGCTGCATCCTTCTCTATCTCTACAGGCGGATAGCTAGAGACAGGTGGATCATTCCCACCAATATCAACATCCTCATCAACAGGATCATTGCCTAACGGGAAAAATAAAACAAGAAACAAAAAGAGAATTAGACAAATAAAATGTGAAACAGCATAACAACAGATAACAATCAATAATTAAAAGAGAAAAATCAAATAGAAGTGTAATGTCAACAATGCAAAATACTTATGCAAATCCACTAATGACTGACCTTTGCAAAGTGGCATTGACGAATTGCTCAGGCCAGACTCATTCAAAATCTGCACAAAAGGTTTTATAAAAAGAGGATAAAACATTTTAATAAGAATAATGCATAAAATATAAAATTAAATGATAATAAGAAAAATATAAAGATTTATCTAACAGAAAAAGAGATCGAAGTTCAGATTTTACTTCTACTTCACGAGCCTCAGCCTTCTGCTGCTGATCATGTTTCTCACAAAGGTAATCATCCAGAAGCTTCCGTAATGTGAACAATGTCTCGTCACTAAGAGAATCAATATCAACCTCAATCTCGTCTTCGCCATTTTGGTTCATATTGTTGCTATGTGTCCTCAAGAAATCAATAATATGCTCTGGCATGTCCATAGGTAATGATTCTAGATCTCTACTCAGGTTCTGTTTTTCTGTATCAGTCATTATACGTACTGCCATTGCATCATTCTCTGTTGTCTTAACCTTTTGGTCGACTAGCAAAGGCTTCCTTCGCTTCAAAGGTGGCGGTTTCTCAGCTCCATGTACTCGAAAACCCAAGTTCGCAGGCACTGAAGAAGCTGCTCTCTGAGGGTTCACGCACGCCCCAGTATTATCCTCTGCCAAAATCTTCTTCTCGATGACTTTCCATCTTGTTTCAAAAAACTTGCTCAAAGCATCCGCCATGTAGTGAACATCATTGCCACGTGGGTTATAAGTCATGGCATTCGCAAAAGTAAGCCTCACATCTGCCGCAAACCCTATAGAACTCGAATAAGACCCTGATGTCAGCTTACCCTTGATGGTTCCCAAATCCATTGGATGTTTAATAACATCGAAATAATCAGGGATGTTAAGCTTCACAACATCAACAGGATTATTGAAAACCCATCCAAACTGATGTGTCATCAGACGCTTTAGCAATGATTCACATTGTTTCATCACTGTGGCACCTGATTTCGCCTCTGTATCATGAGACTTGGCAACTTCATTCAAAGGTCCGAACTTAGCAGACACCCCACGTCTCATAGGCCGGCTTCCAAGTACCCCCAGATTCCTCTCCTTTGTCGATGAGGACACCTCTGGCTTCACTTTCTGTGCAGTTTTCTCCCTGCCATCCATACTGGTCGTTGAACTAATCTTTGCATTCTCTCTAACCCTCTTTCTCTGCCCATCACTGCAAGTACGTATATCACTCGAAGAAGACACCACCGTGACACCATTCAAAACCCTAGAAATCATCTTCTTCTGATAAACCCTGACCTGTTCAAGCTCCATCTTAAGCCTTTGCACCGCGTCTTTTCGCTCAGATCGAGACATTTTGGACACAGCAAGAACCTGCAATGGCACATTAAATCCCTCGCACCGCTCCATGTTTAGGCTTATGGATTTCCTCTTCGGAGCACATGAGTCTTCTGATGCAGTCATTGCACAGTCAATGCGACCAGAGCTGCCAAAGCCTCCACTGTCTGAGTTACCAGCATTGTGGGTCCCACGAATCCCTGCCCCATCAGAATCACCAGTCGTTTCAACTGCATTCCTGTAATCTGGGATGAAATTTGTAGAGTACTTTCTCGAAAATTTCTGACTTTTACCCATCATGAACAAAGAATCACCAGAGAAATCCTTTGAGTCCTTATGCTTACTACTGCTACTACTGTAAGCTACCAGATAGGTGGACGCCATACAAACACCGGCACCTGAACATAATAGCAAAGAGTAACCACACTTTTCGTATCCAAATCTCAGGCCCGCCTTTTTCCTTTAGGGTTCCTTGGTTTTAGCTGTAACAAATAGAGCAACCCGTGTACCAGTAGAAAGTTGCAGAAAAATCCCTTGACCTAGATATCAGCCACTACAGCCCTAATGTCAGTGTGAAAATGGCCCCAACCCTAAACAAGAACCATCACCCAAAAATGAATACCTGCCGCAACAATTATATACATCACCAGGGTTTTCTCACATTCATGAATTCAACTGCTAGAATGAACCCAAGGAAGTATCGCCAGGAACCAACCCTTAAAGAACTGCACAAACCCACCAAGGATTTACTTCTCTAACGATAACTTCTCTTTTAGGGTTTTCAAGCATAAAAGAACTGCACAAACCCACAAAGTATACTTTTCTAACGATAACTTATCTCTTTTAGGGTTTTCATACATCGACGAATTCAGGTGCCGATATGAAGCCAAGAAAAATCACAGGAACCAAGCCCTAAATCCAAACCCAACGCACAAGGGAATCCAATACAATAGCCCAAAAAGAAACTTGAATCAACTTAAAATCTTAATAGGGGTGATAGCAAGGGCTAATGAATTCAATAACAAACCTGGATCCAGAAGCCCCAATGACTGACTACAGCATAAGGGAGCGGCCTTCGCTCGCTGACTGGTTGGAGAGAGAGAAAGTTGAGGTTTTAGAGAGAGAGTTGAAGAGAAAGATAGCCCTCAAGCCTTCGCACACGCGACAATAGGGACGGGTCCTTGCCCTTCTCTTCTCCTTATATAGAGCCCACTAAAGCCCCGCGTCGCCGCTGCGCTTCCACATTGAAACCGTTCGATTTTACGATCTGACGGTCATAGGCCTCTCCATTCGTGACCCTTCCTTGCTTGATCGGACGGATTGCGATTATTGGGAACTCCTACACATGCGAGCGAAAGTACAGAGGGAATCTACATGGTTCATAACCAAATAATGAGCGTAGGGAAAATAAATACTTCTTTTAACTTCTAGATATGATAGATTTATGTGGGAATGTTTTATGCTTCGTTTGGATCCTAGGGTATCCAAAATCATGTTTTTTACACTTTGAGAATATTGTATAAAAACATGTTAGGCAATTTTTGAACACATAATAATGTTCAAAACGTGGATATACAAAATTAAGAAAAAATTTGGGCTATCGAAAACATGACTTTGTGAAAGCATGAAAGAGGGAATACAATATAGAAAAAATTTTATATAAGGTGTCAACCTCATACTCTAAGGATAGGGGTCAAACGATATAGAAAAAAGTTTATATAAGGTGTCAACCTCATACTCTACAGATAGGGTTAAAGCGACATAGAAAAAAGTTTATATAAGGTGTCAACCTCATACTCTGCGGATAGGGTGCACCAAAAAAAACCTATTAGAGAAGGTTGTTCTTATTATGGGAGACCTTTAAATTGTTCATTCTAACCTCGAAATCTATAGATATGAACAACAACAACAAAAAAAATTTTTAGACAATCCATTTTCAAGATTTTCAATTGTATATAAGTGTCAACAAACATGCTTGATCATCACAAGAGCTACCCACTTTATTGAGTACAATTAATTATGCCATAACAGCCACACAAATTAGAGAGGGAAACTACTTCAAATTTTAAGTTTTAGCGAGAGAAAGTATCCTAAAATCTTACAAAGAGAAATTATATATAAAAAAAAAACTACATCAAATTTTAGATAGAGAAATTACCCTAAATTTTTTATAGAGAGAAATTATCTCAATAATTTTAGAGATACGAATTATATCATATTTGAAGTTTTAAAGAAAAAAAATGTCTTAAAATTTTAGAGAGAGAAACTATATCAAATTTTAGAGAGAAAACTACCTTAAAATTTTTAGAAACATAAATTATCTCAAAAAATTTCGAGAGAGAAAGTATATCAAATTTTAAGTATTAGATAGAGAATGTATCTTTAAATTTTAGAGAAAGAAATTTTATCAAATTTCAGAGAGAGAAACTACTCGAAATTTTTCAAAGAGAGAAATTATCTCGAAATTCGTAGAGAGAAAAACTATATAGAAATTTCAAGTTTTAAAAAGAAAAAGTATCTTAAAATTTTACAAAGAATATATATCAAATTTTAAAAAGAGAAAATACCAAAAAGTTTTTAGAGAGAGAAACTATCTCAAATTTCAATATTTAAAAAGAACATATCATAAAATTTTAAATAGTGAAACTATCAAATTTTAGAGAGAGAGAAATGACCTACAATTTTTAGAAAGATAAACTATCTCAAAATTTCAAGTTTTAGACAGAGAAAGTATCTTAAAATTTTAGATAGTGAAATTATATCAAACTTTGGAGACAGAATTACAAGAAAATTTTTAAAAACATAAGCTATCTCAAAACTTTTCGAGAGAGAAAGTATCTCAAAGTGTTAGATGGAGAAAGTATCTTTACATTTTAGAGAAGAAACTATATCAAATTTCAGAGAGAGAAATAACTCAAAATTTTTTAAAGAGAAAAATTATCTCAAAACTTTTAGAGAGAATAGAAATTTCAAGTTTTAGGGGGAAAAAAAATCTTACAATTTTACAGAGAAACTATATCTAATTTGAGAAATAGAAATTGCTTGAAAAATTTTAGAGAGAGAAACTATCTCAAATTTCAAAATTTAAAAAGAAAGTATCATAAAACTTTAGATTGTGAAACTATATCAAATTTTAGAGAGAGAAACAACTTAAAATTTTTAGAGCGAGAAATTATTTCAAAATTTCAAGTTTTAGAGAGAGAAAGTATCTTTGAATTTCAGAGAGAGAAACTATATCAAATTTTAGAGAGATAATTGCCTGAAAATTTTTAGAAACAAAAACTATCTAAAATTTTTTGAGAGAGTATTTCAAATTTTAAATATTAGATAGAGAATGTATCTTAAAATTTTAGAGAGAAACTACTCAAAATTTTTAAAAAGAAAAATTATCTCAAAATTTTTAGAGAGAGAAACTATCTAGAAATTTCAAGTTCTAGAAAGAAAAAGTATCTTAAAAGTTTATAGAGAAACTATTTCAAATTTTAGAAAGAAAAATTGGCTGAAAATTTTTAGAGAGAGAAACTATCTTAAATTTCAAGATTTAAAGAAAAAGTATCATAAACTTTTAACTAGTGAAATGATATCAAATTTTAGAGAGTGAAACAACCTAAATTTTTTAGAGAGAAAAACTAGCTCAAAATTTCAAGTTTTAGAGAGAGAAAGTATATTAAAACTTTAGAGAAAGAAACTATAACAAAATTTTAGACAGGGAGACTATCTAAAAAAGTTTAGAGTGAGAAACTATCTCAAAATTTTTAAAGAGATAAACTATTTCAAATTTCAAGTTTTAGGGAGAAAAAGTTTCTTAAATTTTAGAGAGAGAAACTACTTGAGAAAAAGTCTCTCAAATTTTTAGAGAGAGAAATTATCTCATTTTTAAGCTTTAGAGAGACAGATAGTATCTTAATATTTTAGAAAGAGAAAATGATATCAAATTTTGGGGAGAGAAATTATTTAAAATTTTTTAGAGAGAAACTCTCACAATTTTTAGAATGAATTATATCAAATTTTAGAAAGAGCAATTACCTAAAATTTCTTAGAAAGAGAAACTATCTCAAAATTTTTAGAGAAACTATCTCAAATTTTAAGTTTTAGAGAGTGAAAGTACCTAAACATTTTAGTAAGAGAAACTATATCAAATTTTAGATAGAGAAAGTAATATAAAATTTTTGAGAGAGAAACTATATCAAAATTTAGAAAGAGAGAGAGAGACTATCTAAAAAGAGAGAGAAAAAATTTCTCAAAAAAATTTAGAGAGATAAACTATCTCAAAAAATTTACAGAGAGAAATTATCTCTAATTTTAAGCATTAGATAGATAGAGAATATTAAAATTTTAGAGAGAGAAACTATATCAAATTTTGGAGAGATAAATTACTAGTTTTTAGAGATAAACTATCTCAATTCTTTTGGAGATAAATTATGTCAAATTTTAAGTGTTAGAGAGAGAAACTACATCAAAATTTAGAGAGAAACAACATAAAACGTTTTAAAGAGAGAACTATCTCAAAAAAATTATAGAGAAAAATTATATCAAATTTCAAGTTTTAGAGAGTAAATACCTGAAAATTTTGGAGAGAAACTATATCAAATTTTAGAGAGAGAAATTACCTAAAGTTTCTTAGATAAATAAATTATCTCAAAATTTTTAGAGAAGCTATCTCAAATTTTAAGTTTTAGAGAGTGAAAATATCTTAATATTTTAGTGAAAGAAATTATATCAACTTTTAGAGAGATAAACTACTTGAAAATTTCTAGAGATAGAAGCTGCCTCAAAATTTTTGGAGAGAGAAATTGTCAATTATTTGAAATTTCAAATTTTATACAGAAAGTGTCTCAAAGATTTTGGATGGAGAAACTATAATAAATTTTAATTTTTGGAGAGAAATACTCTCAAAATTTCAAATTTTGTATGGATATCATTCAAAGCCTTTTAAACAAATCCTACATGACTAACCAGGTTTTAACATAACCAAGGTTTGACATAATAAGGTTTTGATTCAAAACTTGGGTTGTCAACACTTGGAGCCAAACGAACCCTTAATCGTGCTCTTTTTTGTAGGATTATGAGGAATCATATGAATTACATAATCTATGGAAATAGAAATTTTTTTTATATAAATATACGATCCCCATGCTTTTTGTGTCTTTTGGTTTACTATTTCATTTTTGAAGTCTATTAAGTATGTGTCATGAGTTGTTTGCTACTAGATTTATCTATTGGATCCCTTTCTCTTTCAGTGTTTTCGACTATTAAATCTATATAGTTTCAGTGGTGTTGTTTAGGGTTATATTAAGGTGCTCACACTATAGAGCATTTTATAATCGTACTCATGGGGTATGACATCACTCATTTGGAGCACGCTAGTGACGTTAAATGCTCCTTGTAGGTGATGTCACACCCCATGTTAATGATATCACATCCTTTATAATGACAAAAAATACGCTTACTAAAAAATATTGTATTATAAAATAAGGGTATATAAGTATCTAAAATTTGTTTAATACAATTATAAAATGTTTTATAGTGTGAGCACCTTAACATAATGCATTTTCTTTTCATTTTTATGAGTTTAAAAAATATAATGGACCTGAACTCTTAAATGAGGTTTATATTCAATGGAGATTGATATTAATTTGGGGGATAATGAAACAGAGACATCAAATAATATTTCCTCCTATTAATGATGATGGAATGGATGATTTGGGTTACTTAATGAATTGGAGCATATTATTCCTGTGGATGGTGATGATAGTGGTTTGTTTGATGCAAGTTAGGATGCATATGAGCCTTTCATGGTGGAGCTTCTAATATCTAAATGTATTGATGCAGTCCCTCAAAAGGTTCTCTTAAAGTTGTGCTTGATTTATATAAGAAAAAATTCATATAAAGTTGCAACTTTAAAATGTAGAATTAAGGTGCACCTCAAAAATATGTTGGCAATGATTGTTTTGATGTTGGAAAGCCCTCTAACTAATCATCTCGACATCGAGATGCATGAACATGCGAAAAAACAAAGATTTCGACTCACAAAGATAATGCATCTTTTAACACATTATCTAGACCGTTTATATTCAAGATTTTCTTGTGTTTATAATTTTACTTGATTTGAACTAAATTTACAAATAACACATTCTAAGAATTTTTTACACTAAA